CAGCATAACAAATACAACAATAAATTAACTCATAAAACAAGCAATAAACATTAAAACAATAGCAATAAACATTAGACAATAACACCACGACGCATTTAAAACTAAGGCCGGGCCAAATGTAATGATTAAAATTTTAAAAATGCTGAGCATGACAGGTGAGATGGATAGGTTTTTGGAGATAGGTGCGGTGTGCAGGCAATCTTAAATCTCTAGTAAAGTGCATTTGGGACATGATGCTAGGAGTTTCCTATTCTGGAAAGGCACACTGGAACAACCACGTCTTCAAGCTCTTCCTAATGACTGCCAATGATTGGGCTTGTCTGATGTTCTTGGGGAGAGAGTTCCAGAGTCAGGGGGCCACCACGGAGAAGGCCCTGTCCCTCGTCCCCACCAATCGTGCTTGCAACGCAGGTGGGATCGTGAGCAGGGCCTCTCCAGATGATCGGAGAGATCATGTGGGTTCGTATACGGAGATGCGGTCATGCAGGTAGGCGGGTCCCAAACCGTTTAGGGCTTTGTAGGTAAGCACCTGCACCTTGAATTGGGACCGGAAAATGAACGGCAGCCAATGGAGGTCCTTAAACAGGAGGGTTGACCTCTCTGTAAGGAGCACCAGTTAACAACCTGGCCGTCGCCCGTTGGACCAGTTGGAATTTCCGGGCCATTTTCAAGGGCAGCCCCACGTAGAGTGCATTACAGTAGTCCAATCTGGAGATATGTAGAATAATCACAGGATATCTTAAATGTACACCTGTTGTTAGACTGTATAAGATAGCTGGCATCCCCCCCCCCCTGATGTGCACAGGAAGTTGCTGCCAATTGTGAGATAAATAAGGATGAACACTGTGAAAGCCACCCACTGTATGGCTACTAGTCTCTTCCCAGTAGATTTAAATCAAGGAAAAGTTTAATGAGAACCACCACTACTCTAAATATTCCTCCAGCAACAGCAAGATTATCCCTGTGGGCAGCAAATTCCAACTGGATGTTCCCCACAAGGGTCTGCCTAAAGGGGCAAAGCAAGAATGGGCAACTTGGAAGTCCCTGAACAGACTCAGAAGTGGAGCGGGCAGATCAAAAAACAACCTGGGAAAGGGGCACTACCTAGAAGACTCCTCCGCCTTGTGCGACTGTGGAGCAAAACAGACAACTCCACATCTGTATGCTTGCCCACAATGCCCTGCCTCTTGCACAGAGGAGGAACTGTTTAAAGCTACAGATAATGCAGTTGTTGTTGCCTGTTTTGGTCTAAAACTATTTAGCTGCTTGTGATCCCTTAATTGTTATCAGTTTTTAAACTTACTTGTTTATGCAATGCTTTTGGCACAAAATAAATAAATTTGGAAAAGGTATAAGATTAATTTGGCAGGACATGTTCTTGATAAACCCATGCTGGCTCCTACTGATCACTGCACCACTGGAGAAATTAACTGTTTAGCCCAGGGGTCCTCAAACTTTTTAAACAGAGGGCCAGCTCACAGTCCCTCAAACTGTTGGAGGGCCGGATTATAATTTGAAAAAAAAATGAATGAATTCCTATGCACACTGCACATATCTTATTTGTAGTGCAAAAAAACACTTAAAACAATACAATAATTAAAATGAAAAACAATTTTAACGTATATAAACTTATTAGTATTTCAATGGGAAGTGCGGGCCTGCTTTTGGCTGATGAAATAGGATTTTTATTGTTGTGTGCTTTCAAGTCGTTTCAGACTTAGGTTGACCCTGAGCAAGGGTCGGGTAAATTACCTTGGGGGGCTGTATCCGGCCCCTGGGCCTTAGTTTGAGTTTTTCTTTTTTTTTTTTTTTTTTTTTTTTTTCTTTTGCTTAGCCGGTATTGCACCACCTGACATTCGCCGGGAAGTAGCAGCCAATAGTGAAAGGACCAAGGCAGTGACATCTCCAGCTCATCCCCTGTTTGGGTATCAGCCAGCACGTCAACGACTTAAATCAAGAAATAGTTTTCTAAGATCTACAGAGACACTCGCTGGAACACCTCAGCAAGCAAGAGTCCAAAAGTGGCAGGCTCAGACCCAGAACCTCAATCAATGGCTGATACCAAATGAGAGACTCCCCCCTGGGCACACAGAAGACTGGGTGACTTGGAAGGCGCTGAACAGACTGCGCTCTGGCACCACGAGATGCAGAGCCAACCTTAAGAAATGGGGCTACAAAGTGGAATCCACGACATGCGAGTGCGGAGAAGAGCAAACCACAGACCACCTGCTGCAATGCAACCTGAGCCCTGCTACATGCACAATGGAGGACCTTCTTATAGTAACACCAGAGGCACTCCAAGTGGCCAGATACTGGTCAAAGGACATTTAATCAACTACCAAGCTTGCAAACTTTGTGTTTTGTTTGTTTGTTTTTAAAAATGCAATACAACTGTTTGGTTTGCTCCTGACACAATAAATAAATAAATCACGATATTTGCAGACAGACGCCTGTATCATTTGTTCTTTTTGCCCTTTTTGAAGAGCAGGACAATGTTTGCTCTTTCCCAGTGCTTTGGCATCTCACTTGCCATTACCTCAGGGCTTGGAAGTAAACAATAACTAAGGCATAGTTTAATTACATTTTGACTGTAAATACAATTTACCAGGGATAACCCATTTGTGATGGAACTGCAACTTTTACGTCACTTAATAGGGCTGTGGCTTCATTAAATGGTAGAGGAATGCTGGTGCATGCTGGCCCTTTGTGACTGCCTCATGCTCTGCTTTGGGTGTTGAAGTAACAGCAAAGTGGACAGCAGTTTGGAACATTCTCATTTTTAAAACACTTGTAATGTAACCATTTAATTTATGTCCGAGAAACAAGAAAGTAAATAGTTACTTTCACAAATTATTATTCTTATTATAGTAACAAATTACTGGGGAAATGACAACTTGAAATGATGAGGTTAAGTCGTTTTAGGGAACTTTGGAAGTTCTGCTTTCAAATGATACCTTATACCCACATTACAACAACAAGAAACAATGTGCAGAAAGGATGTTGTAATCTGTACATGACTTCCCCACTTCTTGAAAGCTATTTTAGTCGTTTTGCTTACTGACTTTTCATCATGTTGTATTCTCCCAACTTCAGAAAGAGAGATCTACCTACTACAAGATCCATTCAAATTGGTCATTTGAAAGATTACGACTAAATCTTATTTAAGCTACAGCTGGAGATTCACATAATGGTAAAACAAACATTTGACATTCCACTTGAGAAAAAGGCAGATGACTTGTGTGAGTTAGAACAAAGAAATTGTTGGGGATACCTGGCATTATTAGGCTTTGTTATATGCATTTGAAGCTTGGAAAGGTTGCTTTTTTGTAGCATCTGTCACCTACTGTGGCAAATGGCATACTCACAAAAGAGGAACATGTGCCTATGGCATTCCTGGTCAAGTTAGCTGGAAGGTATTGTCTTCTAGTTGAAGGGGTCTTCAACTTTTTAAGCAGAGGGCTGGTTTACGGTTCTTCAGACTGTTGGGGGGCCAGACTACAGTTTGAATAAAGCATGAACCAATTCCTATGTACATTGCACACATCTTATTTGTAGTCCAAAAAGAACAATACAATATTTAAAAAGAAGAACAAATTTAACCAACATAAACTTACCAGTACAGGTAGTCCCCAAGTTATGAACAAGTCAGAAAAGGTGAGTCAGTTGTGTGAGTCAGAAAAGGTACATTTTAAGTGTAACATTTTATTGTAAAATGTAACATTTTAAGCTTCCCCGAGTCCCCTCAAGGAGATGGGGCGGGATGTAAATGAAGTATTATTATTATTATTATTATTATTATTATAATAATAATAATAATAATAATAATAATAATAATAATCTCCAGCCAATTATATAAGCTTTGGATAGCATGGGGAAGCGTTAACACCCATATGATGTTTATTTTGCTGTCTATGTCCCTGTTCTGAAGATTTCACCTCACTTTCTGTCCCTGAGATCATTGGATTTTGAAAAAATCAACTTGTGGAAACAAGGATTGGTTAGAAAGCTTCAGTGGAGACACCTTTTCCCCATGATAACTCTTCCAGGGGTGAATTTCCCTTCTGAGGGGTAGATTTTTCTAACTTTGTGTTGTCTCACCCCCTCCCCCTCCGTTCTTAACTATAAATCATTTGTAAGGCAGATGTTTGTAACTTGGGGACTGCCTGTATTTCAATGGAAATGTAGGCCTGCTTTTGGCTGATGAGTTAGTCAAGTAAATTAGGATCCTTGTTGTTGTGTTTTTGGTATAGTGTAGGGGTCCTCAAACTAAGGCCCGAGGGCCGGATACGGCCCTCCAAGGTCATTTACCCAGCCCTCGCTCAGGGTCAGCCTAAGTCTGAAACTACTTGAAAGCACACAACAACAACAAAAACAACAACAACAAAAACAACAACAACAATCCCATCTCATCAGCCAAAAGCAGGCCCACACTTCCCATTGAAATACTAATGTTTCTATTTGTTAAAATTGTTCTTCATTTTAATTATTGTATATTTTAAGTGTTTTTGCACTACAAATAAGATATGTGCAGTGTGCATAGGAATTCATTCATGTTTTTTCAAATTATAATCCAGCCCTCCAACAGTTTGAGGGACTGTGACCTGGCCCTGTGTTTAAACAGTTTGAGGAGCCCTGGTATAGTGTGTCCATCTAATACTGAAGTTCAATAACTTTACTGTACATGTAACATGTGCCTTTAAGACATATCTACACTACAAGAAGACTATACAGGTCAGGCATTCTGAATATTTTTGTTAACATATATATATAAAGGATAATGCAGAAAAACAGATGAATATTTTTGTGTGTATATATATATATATATATATATAGAGAGAGAGAGAGAGAGAGAGAGGATAATGCAGAAAAAACATGACAATATAGAGACCCTTTCTTATTTAAAATGTAAAACAAATATGTTACAAATCTAACAAGATGGATAAAATTACCCAAATAGAAAATTTATCCAGAAAACAAAGGAAGATATTTTAGAAACCTACATCAAGTGATCCTTGTGGCTTCTTCTCAACGACCCCTTCCTGTTGAGATAAATAAAGTTCTTCTTCTTCTGAGCAGTTGCTTCTGAAAAAATGAGAAACACCAACTCATGCTTGAGAGCAAACTTAAAGGCTACGCCTCTTCCTTTTTTCTACTGAAATTACATTTCTTGTAACTGTGGGGGTGTAGAAGTGAAAACCAAGAAGGTAGCAAGTTTGTCTGAAAAAGGGGCATTGTATTCAAATGTATGTTCAGTTGATCAAAATGTATAAACGTCATATGGCACAGTTTTATCTCTGGAATACTGATTTCCCTTTAACTTAAAAACTGACTCTCCTTATCCTTGAATTCTGCATCCATGCATTCAATCATCTATGGCTTGAAAATGTTTTTTAAAATATCTCAAACGCAAACCTTTATTTACATAAGGGACACAATTTCACTACATCATTGTATACAACAAGACTGAGCCAAACCCCAGCATTTATAAAGGGTCCATTAGAAGAGCCAACATGAGTGACATTTGACTTGGCCACTTTTGAGGGCACTCTCCAGAATGACATGTATAGGCCTTTTGAATGAGCCTGTCCAAACATAGCTTGAGATCACTTGGTTTGAGACAACTGTGGGAATCCTGGCTTACTATGGATGACCAGCATGTTGGTCACTCCCACTTGTACAAGAGCTGCTAAATAAATTACAGGTTGAGCATCCCTTATCCAGAATTCGAAAATATTCCAAAATCTGAAATTGTCCAGATGGGTGGCTGAGATAGCATCATCTTCGTGATGTTTCAATGTACACAGACTTTGTTTCATGCACAATGTTATTTAAAATATTGTGTATAAAATTACATTCAGGCTATGTGTATAAAAGTGTACATGAAAAATAAATGAACTTCATCTTTAGACTTGGATCCCATCTCCAAGATATCACATGATGTATATGCAAATATGGAGCCCCCAGTGGTACAGCAGTTTAAACCGCTGAGATGCTGAACTTGTTGACTGAAAGGTCGGTGGTTCAGATCCAGGGAGTGGGGTGGGCTCCTGCTGTTAGCCCCAGATTCTGTCAACCTAACAGAAAACATGCAAATGTGAGTAGATCAATAGGTACCATTCTAATGGGAAGGTAACGGCGCTCCATGCAGTCATGCCGGCCACATGATTTTGGAGGTGTCTACGGACGACACCGGCTGTTCCGCTTAGAAACGGAGATGAGCTCCAACCCCCAGAGTCGGACATCACTAGATTTAATGTCAAAAGGAAACCTTTACCTTTTATATGCAAATACAAGCATTGAAAAACTATCCCTTTCATCCAAAATACGACTGGTCCCAAAGAATACTCAACCTGTATAGAATTTTGTCCTCTGGTTTGTTTATTGCTTTGCTGGAGTATAGACACCTCCCTTCCCCTTTCCACCAGATTCCTCTCTTCCCAGGTTTGTTGGGAGAGAAATAAATGATGAAGAAAAAATGTCCACATTCAGAGGAAATAAAGAAACAATAAATAAATTCCACAGATGGTTTTGCTGCTTCTGATGCAAACAGGAGGTTTTTTTTTGGGGGGGGGGGGTTGGTCGTGTCAGGAGCAACTCGAGAAACTGCAAGTCGCTTCTGGTGTGAGAGAATTGGCCGTCTGCAAGAACGTTGCCCAGGGGACACCCAGATGTTTTTGATGTTTTATCATCCTTGTGGGAGGCTTCTCTCGTGTCCCCGCATGAGGAGCTGGAGCTGATAAGAGGGAGCTCATCCGTGCTCTCCCCGGATTGGAACCTGCGACCTGATGGTCTTCAGTCCTGCCAGCACAAGGGTTTAACCCACTGCGCCACCGGGGGCTCTCCAAACAGGAGTGACTGAGCAGTGCGGTACGGACCAACATTTTGTTCTCTGGATCTCCAGCTTATCATGTTAAATAATTGCTCCCATTGTCTTTGCCAAAAGTTTCCCTTGCTGAGTCCCATCCACACCAGCTGACTGTCTTTTCACTTCTGGAACTTTATCACAGGTTGAGCAACCCTTATCCAAAATAATTGGAACCATATTTTTTCACACTAGGCTCACACCTAGAAAAACACAAATCTTATCAAAGATCCAGGTCTTACCAGTTATCAAATTCATTTGGGACAAAGCAGGGTTTACATACTTTGTCTCAAATTAATTTGGTTTTACCAGTGGCATTGTTTGGATGGACCCTAAGAAAACCCTATGAAACTTATGAGTGTTAGTCAAAAGACAAGTTTCTACCAAAATTAAAAAAAATACATAGTCATTTTTGTGTCATTTCCTCTGAGGGTGACGCTACTATCCAATCAAACATTCTTGTCCATTGACAAGAATAGCCTTTTCCTTTCATTTTTTCACTATACACAATACAATTCCATTTCTTGGGTAGTTCAGAAGCACTGGGATGACCTGCCTTCACCTTTTAAGCTTTCTGTACTAGAATAAATTATGTAGAGGAAGAAAGGGAAGCTTTAATGAAATTGCCCATTTCCACATCACTGGTACCTGATATCATTTCAATCAAAATTTGTTTTTTTTTAATTCTTTCAAAAAACAGAAGCCCTAAGATAATCATAAATGGAACAAGATACAAGCCATGACAACTGTCACTGAAGCATTGTATTTGCTGGAGGCTGCATCTATATTGCCAAATAATGCAGTTTTAGAATGCAGTTTAACTGCATTCTGAGGGCCCTTCCACACAGCCATATAACCCAGAATATCAAGGCACTATATTCAATTCACAATATCTGCTTTGAACTGGATTATCTGAATCCATACTGCCATATAATCCAGTTCAAAGTGGATCGTATACAGCAGTGTAGAAGGGGCTTGAAACTGCATTATATGGCAGTGCAGACTCATATAATCCAGTCCAATGAAGTTAAACTGCATTTTGAAACTACATTGTATGGAAGTGTATAGAATTATAGAGTTGGAAGAGACTTCATGGGCCATCCAATCCAACCCTCTGCCAAAAAGCAGGAAAACTGCATTCAAAGCACTCCTGACAGATGGCCATCCAGCCTCTGCTTAAAAGCTTCCAAAGAAGGAGCCTCCACCACTCTCCGGGGCAGAGAGTTCCACGGCTGAACGGCTCTCACAGTCAGGAAATTCTTCCTAATGTTCAGATGGAATCCCCTTTCTTGATGTAGCTGGAGTCACATTTTCAACTTCTGCAGTTGCAGAACAAACAAGCAGATTGCTACTGACTATGGCGAAACATTGCTAGCCCACTGTGAAGGCGTGCCACATCCTGCCTCTGATGAAATATTTCTAGCAGTTTAGTGAAATACGTTTTGAAAATGTGTACCCATTTTCTGAAATCCTCTTAAAACAGCAGCAATTAATTGAATAATGATAACAAAAACAACAACAAAGCTTTATTTATATCCCATCCCCTCTCTCTAAGGGACAACTTACAACAAGGAAGAACTATACAAATAGTATTAATTATACAAACAAATCCTTAGAAAGTAAATCGGAACAACAAATCAAAGGAACATATCATGATACACAGAGAAGAGTAAATCACAATGAACTTGTCAAATGTAACTCAAAAAACAGCAGTAAACATGTAGTACACTAAAAACATCATAAGACCTACTCTTGTTGATAAAGCAATGATCCAGCTAACATTTTTGGATTATGTGATTTTAATATTTATATTAATACTAGCTTGGGGACCCGCCGCTGCCTGGGGTATTAGAGAAAGTGGGTAATGGCGATTCTGTATGCCAAGTTTGGTCTTTATTGGATAACGGCTGCATTGTTTTCAGGAAGTGAGTGAAGGTACTTGAAGTCCCATCATCCAAAGACCATCCTCCAAACTGCAGCAGAATGTAGAGTGGGTCATGGGGGTTCTGTGTGCCAAGTTTGGTCTTGATCAGTCATTAGAGTAGGGTCGCAGTGGTTTCAGTAAGTGAGTGAAGGTACTGCAAGTCCCATCATCCATAGTCTGTTCTTCCTCCAAACCTCACCAGAATGTTGAGTTGGCCAAGGGGGCGCTCTGTGCCAAGTTTGGTCTTTCTTGGTATTTGGATAAGTGGCGCTGTGGTTTCAGGAAGCGAGTGAAGGTACTGCAAGTCCCATCATCCATCATCTGTCCTCCTCCAAACAGCATCGGGATGTAGAGTGGGTCATGGGGGCTCTGTGTGCCAAGTTTGGTCTTGATTGGTCATTAGATGAGGTTTTGCAGCAGTCTTGGGTGTGGAGGTACTTGAAGTCCCATCATCCATGGTCTGTCCTCCTCGAAAGTGCACCAGGATGTAGAGTGGGTCATGGCTCTGTGTGCCAAGTTTGGTCTTGATCAGTCATTGGCGAGGGTCTCAGTGGTCTCAGGAAGTGAGTGAAGTGACTGCAAGTCCCATCATCCATTGTCAAATTCTTCCAAACCGCACCAGGATGTAGAGTGGGTCATGCGGGCTCTCTGTGTAAATTGTGGTCCTGATCCATCATTGTTGGCAGTTATAATGGTTTTAGGAAGGGAGTGCAGGTATTGCAAGTCCCATCGTCCATGGTGCATCTTCCTCCAAGCCGCACCAGGATGTAGAGTGGGTCATGGAGACTCAGTGTGCCAAGTTTGGTCTTTATCGGTAATTGGATGAGGGTTGCAGTGGTCTCAAGAATTGAGCAAAGGTACTGCAAGTCCCATAATCCATGGTCCATCCCTGGCCAAACCACACCAGGACATAAAGTGGATCATGAGAGGTCTATGTGCCAAGTTTGGTCCTGATCGGTCATTGGATGAGGTTAACAGCGGTCTCAGAATGTGAGTGATGGTACTGCAAATCCCATCATCCATGGTTCATCCTCCTCCAAACTGTAGTAGGATGTAGAGTGGGTTATGGGGGTTCTGTGTGCCAAGTTTTGTCTGTATTGGTAATTTTCTGACCCAGCCTCCCCTGGCCTTTTTCTTTCCTCTCTTTGTCATCTCGGAATCTTGGAATTGAGGTTGGCCAATCAGAGACCATATGCAAATTTCCTTCTGTCATGTCCCCGTTTCTGTCATGAACCCTTTTTTCCACCAGGGGCTCCTGTTGAAGCAGGCCAATCAGAGACCATATGCAAATAGCACCAC